AGTATTTCACAAAAGTATTTCACAAAAGTATTTTACAAAAGTGCAACAACAAAAGTACACTGACAACCGCAAACGACCATAACCTATACGTTTGTCAAGTAGCGCTGTAAAGTCGCTGGCCTGAGTCTTTAAGAACGGTCTAGATAAGACGAACTCGATTACGTCTATTGAAACATCTTTATTATGGATTATTTCAATATTATTCATTATAATTATACCTATAATATTGTAATAATTAAAGAATTATTATTTGATACATTATAGAGATGATAAATCATAAATATAACGTAAAAAACAATATTATTATTAATATATATATATATTATATTATAATATTATTAACAATAAAGGCAATGGATATGGCTTTTATATAAATAGAAATAATTTTATAATTATATTAAAAATATATATGTAATTTAAGGATAAAAACATTTTGAATTTAGCATAAAGGCGCGCCAAAAACATCACCGGTATTAACAGATTGTCGCCAAGTAGCCAGCGTGGCCCCGTGGTTAGCGTAGTAGGTTTGCGAGTGTTAGGTCGTGGGTTCGGTGCCCAGTGCGAGCGAGATTTTTCAAATTAGATTAGGTGTTATTTCCACAGGTGTTGTTAATTAATCTTAAGTGATAATATAAAAATAGTAAAAAACTTCGGATTAAATTAATTAAATAATAATAAATTTTTTTTGAAATTACTAATAATAATTAAATGAGGAGATAAGTTGTCTTGACTTATAAGATTCCAATACAACTTATCTTCTTATTATTAATAAATTAAAATAATATTATTAATGAATACTAATGTTGTTTTAATTTTATCTATAAATATAATAATACGTAATATTAATAGGATTATTATTATTATTATTACTATTATTATTAAGAATTATTGAACGCGAGTATCAAGACCTGGCCAGCTTGTCTAACTCTAGACCGTAGCATGGAACTTTCGTTCCATTTCTGATCGGGGGCTCGACAAGACCGTCTGGCTTGGGTCTATAGAGACGTTAGACAGTCTGTCCAGCGTCCTACAAGCGCCCCGAAATTTTTCTACACGGGTTTTTAAAAAAGTGATCCCATTGGCCTCAAATTTGTTACTCGGGGGTTTTTAGGGTCGCTGATTATGAATCTAAACTTTGTTTTTCAAAATTCAAAATGGCGGATCCAATATGGCGGATGACTTTAAAAAAAATTGATCCAATTGGCCTAAAATTCGTTACTCGGGGGTTTATGGGGTCGCTGATTACGAATCTGAACTTAATTTTTCAAAATTCAAAATGGTGGATCCAAAATTGCAAACAAAATTTTTTAAAAAATTGAATAATTGAAAAATATCTTTCTGACATATTTGATACACCATTTTAAATATTAGTAATGAAACTTTAAATTTTATGTACATGGTTACAAAAACTAAGCTACGAAAACCCCCAAGTTACAAATTTCAGGCCAATTATATCAATTTTTTTAAAAGTTGTCCGCCATATTGGATCCGCCATTTTGAATTTTGAAAAACTAAGTTCAGATTCGTAATCAGCGACCCAAAAAACCCCCGAGTAACAAATTTCAGATAAATTCGATCAATTTTTTTAAAAGTCGTCCGCCATATTGGATCCGCCATTTTGAATTTTGAAAAACTAACGTCGGATTTGTAATCAGCGACCAAAAAAATCCGCGAGTAACAAATTTCAGTCAGTTTTAAACACATCTAGAGATTTTGGGCAGGTTTTTTGCAATAAGGCCCACTGTGCTGCGTAACAATGTGTAAAAATGAGTTACGCAAATTTTTTTATAGTATTTGATCAATACTGAAGACAATAAAATTTGTTTCACGAATGTGCCCAGAAAAAAAATTAATTTTTCTAATATCTCAAAGTTTAAAAGTTCTAGAGATATGCCCATATATTATGAGTCATTTTCCTTCTGAATCGATCTCATTATTATTTAAAAATAATAATCCCAGAGAACACAAAAACTTGCAACAACCTTGCAGCATTATAAAAATGCCAGGTTCCCAAGCTTGCGCTGCAAGCTTCCAGCAAAATTGCCTCAAGTAACAAATTGTCCCACATTAGCAAGCTTGCAATCAAAGGTTGCTGCAAGCTTTCAAAAAAATGTTGCCGCAATTTTGCAATGACAGATTATTGCAACCTTGCAGTGAAAGCTTAATGTAAGCTTGCAATAAAAGATTCATATGTGCTTAACATAAGCTTACAATATGCTTGCTGCAAACTTACAAAAGACTTGTGCTTGAAATCACAAAAGAAAAAAATCTGATTTTACGCACGCAAGACGAGAACGCTAACCGATCTACTACCATGGACACGTATAATACAATACAATTTTTTCTCTCTTATGCAATCGTAACATAAGAGAATAAGAGAGAGAAAATTTTATTCTATTATACGTGTCCATGGTAGTAGATCGGTTAGCGTTCTCGACTTGCGTGCGTGTAAAATCAGATTTCGAATCCCCATACCCCCCAAGATTTTTTCGTGTAATATTAAGTTAACATAAAATAATATAATGCAAAGAAAAAAAATTAATAAATAAAAAACTTAAATTTTTTTCTTTTGTGATTTCAAGCACAAGTCTTTTGTAAGATTGCAGCAAACATATTGTAAGCTTGTGTTAAGCACATATGAACCTTTTATTGCAAGCTTACTTTAAGCTTTCACTGCAAGGTTGCAACAATCTGTCATTGCAAAATTGCGGCAACATTTTTTTGAAAGCTTACTAATATGGGACATTTTGTTACTTGAGGCAATCTTGCTGCGTAAGCTTGGGAACCTGGAATTTTTATAATGCTGCAAGGTTGTTGCAAGTTTTTGTGCTGTCTGGGATAATGATTAAAATCAAATTGAATCTTGTTAGTCGGTTTTCTGCACCTTTTTTAAATGTCAAAATTAAAGTGATTATTAATAAATAGTATAACTGTTATAAATTTTGTTTAATTATTTGTGTTTTTCCTTATCCCCCTCTCTCCGCGATCTATTGTTGCTGTAAAGTAACAATGGAATTCCTGAGCTGCATGGTTCTAGTTTTTCCTAAGTAGAATTATAAAATTTAATTGTTCCATAAAATAACTTGGTGTCTTGGCAAAATTAATGATTAAAAAGTGTAGATAACGTAGATTGTCTTAAAAAAATAATAATAAATAATTTAAATTTAAAATAAATTCAATAATAAATTAAAATCTACGTTATAATTCATACGACATACCGTACAAAGACAATCATGTTGAACATGGGGAAACATGCGTTTTTAAAGTGTTTATGCAATATGTACACGTTTGTTTATAAATCATCATGTCATATGTCAATTTTATTTTATCGATAATCGCACAAATCTTAATTTCGCATAATAATCGCGATAATAAATTGACAATTGATTGAGACTTTAATTCATTAAATTTTTAACCATTCAGAAAAATTTATCAACTTAGAATGAAAGTTATAGAATATGGGTCCATCTAAAAGGTTAATTTTTTATGCATTTTAAATTGAGTACCGTCAACTATTTAAATTGAACCCAGGTTTTTTCAGTGTTTATAGGAACTGTCTTTATTTTTTAAAAAGAAGTATTTTTATAAATATAAATTCAAAGAGCCTCGGCAAAAAGTGCCCCTTTTTCGTACCTCGAATTTTGAAACTTTTTTTTATGCCAAATGGTTACATATGATGACCCAATAATCCCTGCAAAATTTCAAGATGAGCATGTGCCCCCTTTCCGAAATACAGGGGGTTAAAAGGGGCCATGTCCAAAATTAGAATATGCAATATAATCGAATAATAATGTTAAAAAAAATCAGACCAAATGGTTCCCTTAAGATTTTCGTCTGCTGATTACGAATCTAAAGTTCGTTTTTAAAAATTCAAAATGGCGGATCCAATATGGCGGACGACATTTTTAAAAATCGATTCAATTGACGTGAAAATCGTTACTCGGGGGTTTTTGGGGTCTCTGATTACGAATATGATGTCCGTTTTTAAAAATTCAAAATGGCGGATCCAATATGGCGGACGACATTTTTGAAAATCGATCCAATTGACTTAAAACTTGTTACTCGGGGGTTTTTGAGGTCGCTGATTACGAATATGATGTCCGTTTTCACAAATTCAAAATATCGGATCTAATATGGCGGACGACATTCATCTTACCTTTGTTGGTTGGATTATTATCTCTTATCTTTGCTGATCGGGTTGTCGATTACATCTTGCCTTCATTGGTTGGGATACTACTTCTTATCTTTGTTGATTGGAATATTACATCTTACTTTAGATGGTTTTGTAATTATTACATCTGGCCTTTGCAAGCTGAATTTAGCCTTAAATCTTGCCTTTATTCGTTATATTAGATCCGACATTTTGAATTTTTAAAAACGGACATCATATTCGTAATCAGCGACCCCAAAAACCCCCGAGTAACAAGTTTTAAGTCAATTGGATCGATTTTCAAAAATGTCGTCCGCCATATTGGATCCGCCATTTTGAATTTTTAAAAACGGACATCATATTCGTAATCAGCGATCCCAAAAACCCCCGAGTAACGATTTTCACGTCAATTGGATCGATTTTTAAAAATGTCGTCCGCCATATTAGATCCGCCATTTTGAATTTTTAAAAACGAACTTTAGATTCGTAATCAGCAGACGAAAATCTTAAGGGAACCATTTGGTCTGATTTTTTTAACATTATTATTCGATTATATTGCATATTCTAATTTTGGACATGGCCCCCTTTGACCCCCTGTATTTCGGAAAGGGGGCACATGCTCATCTTGAAATTTTGCAGGGATTATTGGGTCATCACATGTAACCATTTGGCATAAAAAAAAGTTTCAAAATTCGAGGTACGAAAAAGGGGCACTTTTTGCATGGGGCTTGCCGAGCCTCTTTCAATTATCATCATCATCATCATCATCATCATCATTAACATTACGATTATAAAAAAGAAGCATTGTTGCGTTCTAATATGTACCTGAACGTCTTACAGCAGATTATACCTTTTTCCAGGAGTTTTCTCTCGTCTAGAGCCATTAATAATCCCATGTGCTCGTAATAATTTCCAAGTATGACGTATACTGCAAAAAATCAAAACAAATTTAAATTATATATATGATGATTGTTCACAGAGAGCAGGAAAATATTGGTGCCTTTTTATGCGTGGCTTTCACGAACTTTAATATAAAAATATAGAGATGCTGTACTTCTAGACACTAAAATATAAAATTGAAAACGCTTTTATATAGAATCATAACTTCTTTTCAGATTAAATTTGATTTTCTTATTGACATCAGTATGAATATATATATATACATATATACTGTGTATGTCTTTATGTCTATACCTACAGCTGTTTACGACTTTGTCAATAAAACGCAAATGACGCTCCAACAAATTGAATTTTCCATTTCTTTTCAAATCTTGTGATTTTCAATCCATTTTAAATTTTCACAGCATAAATATGCTTTTTATTCTCTCCGCAAAAAATTTTAATAACATGATAGATTATGTTTTATCCTAATATGCTAGAAAGGAAAGTAATTATTAAGGGTTTTTAAAAATTTTTAATATAAAATCTATTAAGCGTGTTATGGTATATGAAACTTGTAATATTTAATTAATATCCTCATTAAAACCTAATAATAAATAAAATAAAAAAACCAAAAAAATAAAATTTAAAAATTAATTACAAAAAAAAATTAAAAATATTTAAAAAAATATAAAAAATTAATTTAATTAGTTAAAAATTATGGTATATTGAAAAAATAACGGCAATTAATACTATAAATTAAAATAATAAATAAAGCAAGTATATAATAAGATATATAAATATTATTATTAAATTAACAAATGTTTAAATACATTTAAAAAATTTTATTCATCTTTTCAATAAGTATTTTCATATTTTAAATAAATTTCATAAAATATAACAATAATAACATTGATTGATTAACAAATAAAATAGAAAACACAAAATTTCTATTTAAAAGCCTTTTGAAAAAGCTCGCCGTTTTTCAACTGTTTTTCAACTTATAAAAACAGTCGAGGGTTAAGAGCAAGATTTTTTTATTCTCTGATAGTTGGTCGAGTAGGTTTTCGGTTAGGGTCTTTGGTTAGTGTCTGTCGAACCCGGGTTCAATTCCCAGTCCTCTCAAAATTGTTTCGAAAATTTTCTCGTTAAGTTTCCAAATGAAAATAAATAGGACATAATTAATAATAATAAACGTCACAAGGATTTTCAAATTTAAAAAACAAATAAATTTTTTTTTAATTTAAAATGTATTTTTTAAAAATTGCACCATGCTTGCAGCAACCTTTCCAGAAACTTGTTGAAATTCTCCTGCAACCTTACGTAGCAAGCTTACAGCAATCTTTCACGGCAAGCTTGCAGCAATCATTTTTAGTATGCTTGCAGCAATCTTGTAGCAATCTTTCATGGCAAGATTGTAGCAACCTTTCCTGGAATGGTTACAGCAAGCTTTCACGGAAAGCTAGCCCTGGATGGGACATTTCGCTAGCTGAGACAAGCTTGCAGCAAGCTCGCATGGTAAGCTTGCCGCAAGCTTGCTGCAAGTTTCCGTGCTGTCTGCTACCGCTACCGGGAATTCTTCCGAGAATTACAACAAATTTTGGTTGCGATTCTCGGAAAAAATTACCGGTAATAACTACCGGTAGTGTCTGTACAGGTGGCGGTACCGGTAGTTACTACCTGTAGTCACTGCCGGGAACTTTTCCACCTGGGATAACCTTAAATATATTTTGACACTTGGGAATATACTAATAAACAAATTGTAAATTTGTCATCTTTATACAGTCTACATAAGTTTATTTTGGCATTTAGCCACTTGTATTTATTACCTATGTACAAAAGGGTTTTCTTAATAAACCCGTATAAACTTTGAAATAAATAAATTTGTTTTTCTGGGAATTATTACAGGATTTTTCCAGGAAAGTTCCGGGAACTACTCCTGAAGTCATTCCGCAAAATTTCCCGGGAACCCATTCACGTGGGCGTCAATATCTATAAATATTTCTAATTCTAAACTGTTATATTTTTATTTTGTTTCAAGTAAAAATTAGGTTTAAAAATAAACATAATTTTTCTAAAAAGTTATATATTATGATTAAGAAATAATAAAATATAAACCTTAATTCATTCCAATAGTAACGAACTAACATATTATTTAAACGAAAATATTTATAACAACATTTGTGTGTATTTATTTCGTTTACATTGTATTTACAATGGGTAAAAATGTAGTATTTTGGTGATTCGATTGTGGTGGTAAAAAAATTTTTCAAAAAGTTTAATAATTTTCATGTTATTAACAATAGAATATTGATGACACTTTTTTCAAGATAAAAAGCAGCTAAATTATTGGTTTTATTTGTTATTAATTTTGAAAAATTTTTCTCTTTCATATCCATTTCCAACAATTTTTATATAGGAATATTTTACCTAAATCCCATTTAGTTTAGCTGATTTTTAATCTTAAAAAAAATACGTCATATAAATATTTAATTGTCAATGACTGAAAAAAATATATAAAAATAAATGGCCAGATCACATATTATATTTTTTTAAATTTGTATACTTCTTATCTGTTTCCGAAAAAGAATGAATTTTTTACAAAATATTAAACTTATTATTTTTTTGTCTATAAAAAAAACAATATTCTAACCAAACTAATTAGGTACGCAACACTCAAAGGCACGTTAACTGCCATGATTTGCTACGTGTGTCTAATATGGACTTTTAAAAATACATGATGCGGGTGATTTTTCATGCGAAATAAAACAAAATGTAATTTTAAATCACGCATACTAAATGCGGGTTACTATAAATAAGAAAACATTAACAATTTTATCATTATCCTAAACAATGATATAATCTTGATAATTTTTTTTTTATTTTTATGTATTATTATATGTATTTTAATTTATTATAATTCTCCTCATTGTTTATATTTATTTTAACACAAAATGTACATGTATTACAAATAAGATATGTTTATAGTACCTAGTTGCATAGTAAACTACACAGAAAAAACTTGGACTCATTTTTGTTGCAACTCATTTTCTTTTGGGTATCGAAATGAATATGGGACAAACTTCATGTTATTCAAAATGATATTGGCTGGAATTTCAGATTTCTAAGTTGGCATCATAAGCAGAGTAATTTTGTATTTCAATTATTGTTTCTAATATTTCAACAACACCAGAAAGATTATTTTGACCAGTACGAATATTTAGAAGTTTTTAAATAAAAATTATTTATTATTATTTACGTAGATAATAATTAATTTCATAAGTTTTTAAATTTACCGCTATTATTTAAGTTGGCAGTACCGTTCCTGTTGTCAAAACACATGTTTTCATTTTTCTAACCTAAAAACATATTTCCTTTATTATTTTATTACGCGATTACAAGCAATTTTTAATCAAATATATTAAGTCTAGCGTGTTATTTACTTCTTTGTAATTATTATATTTCATGTTTTTGTGCAAAATTATTCGTTATTTCACAATATTTTTCCATTTTTCTTTTTCTCAAAGTGAAACTTGCCTGTTTCATTTTGATACTTTTACCTTAGAACTCGAAATGAGACAACCAGTTTCATTTTTGTTGCGAATCAAATTGAGTATAGAATCTATACTCAATTTGAATTCAGGTTTTTTCTGTGTAAACTCCCAAACTCTAAACTCTGTCCTCCAATCTGGACTTCACGTTTAACACACCATATTCTAACGTTCATATATACCGTGTATGTATATACGCACAAGTTCAACAGAAACTTTAGTTTTGGTTATGGAGCTTTGTACTCTCTGTATATATGTATATACAGGGTGTTCCAAAAGTATGGAAACTTGCAAATATCTCGAAAAGTACGAATTTTCGTGAAAAATGTTCAATACAAAAGTTGTTCCAAACAAAAAGATCTACATTGTTGAAACCAAAAAATTGGGCCCCGGGCCCAATGTTGAGCCCTACAATGAAAAAAGTAGTTTTCTTAAATGAGACCACTAATTTTGAATATCAAATTCGTAATCCCCATGAAATTCTGCGTTCAGACATGTGGTATAAGTGCCCAAAATATTGGGCCCAATCCAAGATATCGGGCCCAACATTTTTCGACAAACAAAAAAAATTTTTTAAATCGTATCTTTGGGGGTTTTTGGGGTCACAGGATTACAAAATTCAAAGCTACTTTTCAAATTGGGCACAGAGCCCAATGTAGAATTCCGCGGCCCAATGTTGGGCCCTACAATGAAAAAAGTAGTTTTCTTAAATGAGACCACTAATTTTTAGTATCCATTTCATGACGATTACGAAATGGATACTAGAAATTAGTGGGTTTTATTTTAGACAACTAATTTTTTTACTGTGGGCCTTACATTGGGCCGCGGAATCCTACATTGGGCTCTGTGCCCAATTTGAAAAGTAACTTTGAATTTTGTAATCCTGTGACCCCAAAAACCCCCAAAAGATACAATTTTTTTAATTTATTTCTTTGTCAACAAATTTTGGGCCCAATCCCAGACATTGGGCCCAATATTTTTGGCATTTGTACTACAAAACTAAATCCAGAATTTCATGACGATTACGAAATGGATACTAAAAATTGGTGGGTTTTATTTTAGACAACTAATTTTTTTAATGTGGGCCTTACATTGGGCCGCGGAATCCTACATTGGGCCCTGTGCCCAATTTGAAAAGTAGCTTTGAATTTTGTAATCCTGTGACCCCAAAAACCCCCAAAGATACGATTTAAAAAAATTTTTTTTTTTTGTTGAAAAATGTTGGGCCCCATATCTTGGATTGGGCCCAATATTTTGGGCACTTATACCACATGTCTGAACGCAGAATTTCATGGGGATTACGAATTTGATATTCAAAATTAGTGGTCTCATTTAAGAAAACTACTTTTTTCATTGTAGGGCCCAACATTGGGCCCGGGGCCCAATTTTTTGGTTTCAACAATGTAGATCTTTTTGTTTGGAACAACTTTTGTATTGAACATTTTTCACGAAAATTCGTACTTTTCGAGATATTTGCAAGTTTCCATACTTTTGGAACACCCTGTATATGGAGCTGGTACTTACTTCGCGTTTCACTGTACGTTTCACTGACAAGCTTGTGGAATGGATTTTTCATGTGTGTCACGTGATAGGGTTCCTCCCAACATTTCAAATAGTTGACAGTAATTCCAGCGACTGCAAATGATGACAAAATTGTGCTCGCGACAGTTGACATTTTATTGAACTCAAATAAACTTGAATTCATATACATAAACGATACCTATAATGTTAGTTATTGAGAATTAAAATTCTTTATTAGATATTATGATGAATCTTTGTTAAGAGGTACCAAAATTAATAAATATATTTTATAGATTTGTAAAAGTTAACTTTCAAACTACCCGGAATTTCAGTAAAATATAACATAAATTATTAAACTACAGACAGATAATATTACACCGTTCGACACAATTTTTGACCCACAAAAAAATCCAACATTTTTGGAAACTAGGACCCAAAAAAAAATACCCGTGTCTGACCGTTTTGCTAGATCAAGTCATTTGTGGTTTTTAGGGGTGAAAACAGCCCCTAAATAAAAAGTGACAAGATATCTTTTAAAAATTATTAATATTTTATAAAACTTGGTATCTGGGGGTTTTCGGGGTCGCTGATTATTAATCTGATGTCAGATTTTCAAAATTCAAAATGGCGGATTCAATAAGGCGGTCAAAATTTTAAAAAGTTATTAAATTTTTTTTAAACCTTGATATCTAGGGTTTTTTTTGGGTCGCTGATGACGAATCTGATGTTAAATTGTCAAAATTCAAAATGGCGGATATAAAATAAAAAATTAATAACTTTTTAAAAATTTGATCGCCATATTGGATCCGCCATTTTGAATTTTGAAAATCTGACATCAGATTAATAATCAGCGACCCCGAAAACCCAAAGATACCAAGTTTTATAAAATATTAATAATTTTTAAAAGATATCTTGTCACTTTTCATTTAGGGGTTGTTTTCACCCCTAAAAACCACAAACGACTTGATCTAGCAAAACGGCCAGATACGGGTATTTTTTTTTGGGTCCGAGTTTCTGAAAATGTTAAATTTTTTTTGGTGGCTTAAAAATTGTGTCGGACGGTATTATTGGTAATTCTCAACATAGAATCACTCACTGGTATTTGAGGGTATTATAAAATCTTAAAAAATGATATAAACATACTTTTGTCCAATTAAATGCAGTAAGTACCGAAACAATAGACTTTGATATTTGTGTATCAGGAGGTCGTGTTCTAGCGAATGTTGGAAATTCTAATTTATCAGATGTTTCATGATGTGTACAAAACTGAAAAATGTAAATATTGATATACTCATTTATTTATATATTATATAATTTTAAACAATTTAGACATAACAAGTAAAATGAACTTTTTTTTTGTTGAATTGAATTTTATTTGAATAAAAAAAAGATCCTTACATATGATATCATTGGTTTATTAAAGGCAGCTGCCATTCGTCCCTCGTGAACACAAGTTTCTTGTGGGCCAATATAAGCACTAACGTTTTTCGTCCAAAGATCGGCTGTCATCAAAATGCTTGTCTCTTCCTCTCCGTATGTCTCAGCTATCAAAAATTCCAGTTTATGACCACGTCTCCCTAACTCGCCTGCATTTACCTGTCAATTTTTCAAAATTGAAAAATCAATATATATGGCACGCGCTTCATACTGAAAAGAACCTAATGCCGTAGAAGATAATTTTTTAGGAAAAGCTTTTGAAGCCGAGCAAATTAAATTTTAATCTTATTATTAATTTATTTTTAAACTTAAAATCTAATTGCTTGTTTAAATTTCGCTACAAGTTTCTTATTAATATTTATGATTAAGACTGAAAATATTATTTGTGTATACGTATTAATGCAAGCTTATTTTGCATGTTGAATTTTATGGATTTCGAGAAGAAGGAACAGGATTAAAAGATGTATACCAAATTTCAGAAAATAAAAAAGTGGATAAAATTAGAAAAAATTATCTCCGTCGACGTAACTAGTACATAATAACACTAGTCATATTACTTTTTTCGATTAATATGTGTTTTTTGAGTAAGCAAATCATATTTTAAATTTTTTTCCCTCGTGCAATTTTTTTGTAACAGCAAATTATGCATTTTCGAGGTGTGACGTCACATAAAGTCACCGGTAGAGAAAGCAGTTAATCCAAATGTAAAAAATAAATCACCATTTGAAAGATAATTTAATTACCTTTCAAACCATTGGTCAACCAATAAAATCCATTCAAAATTGTCAGAGTTACAGTCGATCAAAGTTTAAATTTCAAGCAAATTTTAATGATTTTTAGACATTCGTCTAACTTTCGCTAATTTTTTCAAAGTCAAACAATCAAAAAAAGGTAAATTTTAATTTTTTTAATAACAATATATTTAATTACGAAACTTTTAAGCCTTTATAGACCTCGATCGGATAAAAAATGACAATTCTACACTAGATTTATTGAACAAAGTACTTTTCACTTTTAGTATATTTTCAAGTGATTTCGATCTATATCAGTTTTGTATAAAACTAAGTTAAGCGAAGCTCACCAAAATGAGTACTCGAGAGGTTTTCGGGGTCGCTGATTACGAATTCGAGGTCAGTTTTTCAAAATTCAAAATGGCGGATCCAATATGGCGGACAAAATTTTAGTAATTGGAGCTAAGTACACCAAAATGAGTACTTGGGGGTTTTCCTGGTCGCTAATTACGAATCTGAGTGCAGTTTTTCAAAATTCATTTCTAATTATTAAAATTTTGTCCGCCATATTGGATCCGCCATTTTGAATTTTGAAAAACTGACCTTGAATTCGTAATTGGTTGCCCAATGGTTTGAAAGGTAATTAAATTATCTTTCAAATGGTGATTTATTTTTTACATTTGGATTAACTGCTTTCTCTACCGGTGACTTTATGTGACGTCACACCTCGAAAATGCATAATTTGCTGTTACAAAAAAATTGCACGAGGGAAAAAAATTTAAAATATGATTTTCTTACTCAAAAAACACATATTAATCGAAAAAAAAAATGTTTTGTTCGAGTGACAATTTCACTATAAACATGTGTAATCATTACCTTTTGTTTTCGAAAACACAAAAAACACACATTGTGTGGTATTTTATACTATGAAAGACGTTAGAGATCACGCAAAAGGAAAGACATAACAAGCTACATCATTGCTCCTTCAAAAACAACATGAACAACTAACTGCAAATTATGAAATGCCTGATTTTGACCTACAAGCTTCCATTAAAGAACACTCATGTCTATAAACAACCCGCTCTGGGGGTCGATTACGTAACTTTCCCACATCCCACATCCCATCTTTCACATCCCACTTCCCATATTTCACACCCTACTTCCGACTTCCCACATCCCACTTCCCATATTTCACACCCCAGTTCCCACATCCCACATCCCATATTTCACATCCCACATCCCATATTTTACATCTCACTTCCCATATTTCATATCCCACTTTCCATATTTCACATCTCACTTCTCACTTCCCATTTTTCATATCCCACTTCCCACATCCTACTTCCCATCTTTCACATACCACATCCCACTTCCCATATTTCACATACCACATCCCACTTCCCATATTTCACATTCCACATCTCACTTCCCACATTTGTGGTATGTGAAAGATGCGTAGTGAGATGTGAGAAGTGGGATGTAAAATGTGGAAAGTGGCATGTGATTTATGGCAAGTGGGATATGGGAAGTGGGATGTGAAATATGGGAAGTGAGATGTGGGATGTGAAATGTGGGAAGTGAGATGTAGGAAGTGCAATGTGAGATGTTGGATGTAAAATGTGGGCAGTGAGAAGTGGGATGTAAAATGTGGGAAGTGAGATGTAGGAAGTGAGATGTTGGATGTGGGAAGTGGTATGTAAAATGTGGGAAGTGAGAAGTGGGATGTAAAATGTAGGAAGTGATATGTGGGATGTAAAATGTGGGAAGTGAGATGTGGGATGTGGGAAGTGGGAAAGTTACGTAATCGACCCCCTGTTAGGGAATTGCTATGAATATAAAATACATATTACAATAATGCCTGTTTAGTAAAATTATATTTTATTCAAAAAATAAATAAATGATTTTAGTACTACAGTTTAAAAAATCATTTTTCTTAAAAATCCCTGGATAGAAAATTTTAATTTTTTGTTTTATATGATCTAGTAGCAATATATTGAAAGAATCTGGAAAAAAGTTCCAGATATTGGAATTTTTTATTTGATTTCGTTCAAGAGCACCGTGATATATGGGTGATTCTCTCAAAAAGAACAAATTATTTGTGCACAATTTTGGACGAGGTTTTTGTTAAAAAGTAATAACATTAATTTCAATTAATAAACATTCTCCCAGCCATACGATAAAATTCAACAAATTTTTATGGGATCACTAAAGAAAATTTCAAAAAAATGGCAAACAACTGAATTATTGAATGAAAACTAGTGTTAAAACTCCATTCCGTAACATCAGTTTTTATTCAATATTTCAGTTATTTTACCTTTTTTTAAAATTTTCTTTAGTGGTCCGATTGAAAATTGTTAAATCCTAACGTATGGCTGACAGAATTTTAAATAATTTCAATTAATTTTCATATTTTTTAACAAAATATCTTAAAAGTGTAATTTGTCCTTTTTGAGAAAATCACCCATATATATATATAAATTTTTTGTTTCACTCTATTTGTGTAATATTGCAAATTAATAAATGCAGTATACATATACGTTTGTGTATTATTCCCTTAAGATTAGAACGATTTGGTTTAAAGCTAAAGCCTGAGGAGATTTGCGAGGAACATAGTGAAGATTATGTGGTTTAGGAGCAGGTAAACAGTAATGTGGGTGCATGAGTATAATACTAATCGCATTTATGTACATCTATATATATATACCTCCTCTACTGCCAAGGTGATTGCGCCGGAAATCCGAAAGCCAGGACGTTGATACTCAAAGTCGTTTGGTCGTCTCTTTGAGCCTGTAATGTATCCCAAGGTGAAAGTTTCACCCTTTACACCCACCTGTAGTAATGTAACAGCTAACAACGTCGTCACGAAGAGACTAGACCATTCCAAGTGTACCAGTGGCATGCCCAACTATAAAACCTACAACACAAACATAATCATAAATTTTCTCACACAATTGTCCAGTATTCTTTTCTCATCTAATAATTTAAATTACAAAACTTTTTATGTTTAAAATCAATTAAAAAGTAATGTAACCGCATTTTTTTTAACAATTAAAATATAATAAAAAGTTGAGAAAAATTCGATTCTTGGAAGGAATAAAATAACATAAAAAATGTATTTTATTAATGTTGTTTATTGCCACAAAACAAAATAAATATTTTCATTAGATTTAACTTGAAGATGATGACGAACCAAGTCATCGAAACGTCGTTTTTTGTTTTGTGACAATAAACAACATTAATAACATACATTTTTTATGTTATTTTATTCCTTCCAAGTATCGAATTTTTCTTAACTTTTTATTAAACATTCCGGAAGAGAAAATTCTTACACTATAATTAAAATAATATATTAATTTATAAATATATTAATATTAATATAATATTTTTTTGTATGTGACAAGTGTGCGTTCGTTTAAATTGGAGAATTTATTAATGTGTTAAAATTAATTAATTGATGATATCACAAAATAAAAAATATAAATTGAAATATTAAAAATAATTTTAATAGTTTTTTAATATCGCTATTAACTTCATATTATAGAGCGAAAATAAGTGAAAACAGCCAATTGCAAAATTTTTGTCTCCGATTTTTAAGTTATTCACATTTTTTAATAGGTATATGCATATACTTTTACCCCCTAAAATATTTTTCAAAAATATTATTTATTTTGGAAATGAGGGGGGGGGGTGTGAATGTTTTGGGTAATGAAATTTTCTTTTTGCTATTACTCGGAAACGATAAAAGATAATTGAGTGAAATTTGTTTTAAATTAAAGCTTAAAGTCTATATTTTCATGTCTAATCAAAGCGCTTGTTGTAAAATTAAAATTTTCAATTGTTATTAACAATTTTTTTAAACAATTGCAATTTAGAATGTGTTCTCAATGTCAGACAAAAATAAGACTAGGCTGATTTGATGCGCAAAACTCTAACGAGTAAATTAAAAAAAAGAAAAATGAGTAACCTCCAAAATTTAAAAAGTTATGAATATTTTTCTGACGCCGCGCAGGCAGCGGCGAACTTGTTGACTCGCTGACGCGCGAGATTAGCTCGCCTCTCGCACTTCCAAATAATTGAATATTTTTATAAGTATTTATATATTTGTAACACATCATCCCCATTTCCACTTCTACTTTTTCTAATTCTCATTCGCACTTCCATTCTCACTTCCACTCTTTCTAATTCTCACTTCACTTTTTCTAATTTTCATTCCCATTTCCACTTTTTCTAATTTTCATTCCCATTTCCACTTTTTTTAATTTTCATTCCCATTCCTATTTCCACTTCCAGTTTTTTTATATTCATTGCCACTACAACTTTTTCTAATTCTCATTCCCACTTTCACTTCCACTTTTTTATTTTCATTACAACTTTTTTATATTTTCACTTCCACTCCTATTTTTTAAATTTCCATTACCACTTTCACTTTTTCTAATTTCCATCCATTGTAATTAAAAAAAGTGGAAATGGTTGTGTAAATGGAAATTAGAAAGAGTTTTAGTCGAAATGGCAACAGCTAATAAAAATTAGAAGTGGAAAAAAATGGGAGTAGAAGTGGGAATGAAAATTAGAAAAAGTGGAAGTGGTAATGAAAATAAAAAAGTGAAAATGGGAATGAAAATTAGAAAAAGTGAATGTAGAAGTGAAAGTGGAATTGAGAATTAGAAAAAGTGGAAGTGGAAGTAGTAATGTAAATAAAAAGGTGGACGTGAAAATGGGAATGAGAATTAGAAAAAGTGGAAGTAGAAACGGTAATGAAAATAAAAAAGTGGAAGTAAAAATGGGAATGAAAATTATAAAAAGTTCGGGTAAGAACATTAAATAGTTCCTGGTGGTCGATTTTCGACAAGTTTCTTCAAAAATATAATTTAGAAACACTTTCTTAATATTTTTATAGGTACTAACGTTAGTAATATTAGTAACGTCAGTAACGTTAATTTTTCTACCTGGGGAAAACCGATTGAAAGAAATAAGAAAAATAAAAAAAAATTGGTAACAGTTTCGATTCGTCTGAATTGACTTGACAACTCTAATTTAAACCGCAAATGATACATTAATAAATAACATAATCTATAAATATATATATATATATATATATATATATAAATAACATATCTCTATTAAATTTTTCTGATAGATATTTATGCGAACAAATGAAAGTTCTGTAAAATGAAAATTCAACGTTTCAACAATTTTCTAAATTCGAACCAATGCAAATTCGGTAAGAGAAGAATTCTTTCTAACAATAAGTACCAATTTTCTAAATATATATAAATATTTATAAGTCTTTATAATAATGCCGCATTTATTGTTTTTAAATTCAATGCGCGTAATGAATAAGTTTTAGTTATGTAAAATACACGTCATTATGTATGCAATCTAAACTCCATAGATGTTGTGTATATGAACTAAGTGTTTGTATAGGTATTATATATATGCATTGGTTTGCAAAGTAAGCAGCTTACGAAAATTGTGCTGCTAACAGAGTTTCAATTAAAGAGGTAATAATATTAACCCTCTCTATTTAAGCTGATAGTTTCATGTTTCTGAGTTTACCAATGTTAATATGCGGTTTTTAATTCTCACCTTTCCTCCATTTGATTAATTTTGCTCATTGCACCATTTATACTAATGAAAATAAACTAGATCCGGACTATAAATAATACAAAAATAAATAATTTTTTTTAATTTTACACTTCATGAGAAGCATCAAAACAAGTTGTAAATTCAGATGTTCATTACATGAACATTTTGCTTCCTCTTTACGATCAGCAAAAAAATTTGCTTCCTCGTGGAGAAAGCAACATTTTATTGACAAAATGTGAATTTTTGATTTTTTAACTTTCATTAATTCTTTAAATTTACCTCAAATGAATACTTTATATATATCGATCGATTCGTCTTGACGTAAGGAATGCGATTTTATTATATATAACCTTAAATTTTTCTATTTAAAAATTTTTTCGATTAAAAAAAAATTTTTGGAAAAAAGACGATAAAAATTTTTTTTGGGGTATTTATTAAAATCCTTTGGTCAGATTTGAGATATTAATATGATAAATGAGCCTACCAAATTTTATCTAAATCCATTAAAACTTGTTAAAATTATCTTCTAAACAAAAAAGGGATCCACACATACACACACACATACATACATCCGGACAATTGATCAGGATCTCATATAACATGTTTCTATAAAGAAAAAAATTTGTTTCCGCCACTTTAAAAAGTTTTATAAACAAAAGGACTACAAAGCTTCCTCCACGAGGAAGCAAAAGATTAAAATTTTTGTTTAAACTTTTATTAATTTATATATCATATTATATAATTAATGACTTAACATTTTTTTTAAAATGTGAAGAATGTTATATCGGCAAATAGTCTTCCGCCATTGCACCATATATAGTTTGGGTGATTGGATTTAATAGTGTATTTATTGTCCCAAGTTTTTTTTAAATCATAGTGGACTGTTTCTATTGCTTGTTATGAGTAGAAGCCTTAACCCACTTCTTGCCATGAATACAAAATTTTCGATTTAAAAAAAATACAGTGAAAAAACTGAGAAAGTCCACGCTGTTTTTTTATATCGAAGATTTTTGTTTAAGGCAAGAAGTGGGTTAAGGCTACTACTCATAACTAGCAATGGAAGCAGTCCACTATGATTTTAACCCCTTGACAGTCCAGGGCCCATATGTGGCCAGAAAAAGTCGTGCCACCTTTGTGCAAGTGGCCATATATGGCCATCGCAAAAAAATAATACTAAATTTAATTTGATTCGCCTGAAATTTGTTACTCGGGGGTTTTTGGGGTCGCTGAATCCAAATTTGAAGTCAGATTTCAAAAAAACAAAATGGCGGACCCAAAATGGCGACCATGAAAACTTAAAATTTATCAGATTTACATGAAACTCGTTGCTCAGGGGTTTTCGGGGTCTCTGATTACGAATCTGAGGTCGGTTTTTCAAAATTCAAAATGGCGGATCCAATATGGCAACCCAATATGGCGGATAATTTAAAAATTAATGCGTTTTGACCACAAATTGTTACTCGGGGGTTTTCGTAGTCGCTGAATTCGAATTTGAGGTCAGTTTTTCAAAATTCAAAATGGCGGATCCAATATGGCGGACAAAATTTTAAAAAATCAATCCGATTTGTCTGAAATTTGTTACTCGGGGGTTTTTGGGATCGCTGAATTCGAATTTGAGGTCGGTTTTTTTAAATTCAAAATGGCGGATTCAATATGGCGGACTTTCCTAAAACTTATTTTTAAAAATGATTAAATTTACTAACTCCAAATTCGAATTCAGCGACCACAAAAACCCCTGAGTAACAAATTTCAGGCAAATCGGTTTGATTTTTTAAAAATTTGTCCGCCATATTGGATCCGCCATTTTGAATTTTAAAAAACTGACCTCAAATTCGAATTCAGCGACCACAAAAATCCCTGAGTAACAAATTTCAGGCAAATCGGTTTGATTTTTTAAAAATTTGTCCGCCATATTGGATCCGCCATTTTGAATTTTGAAAAACTGACTTCAAATTTGAATTTAGCGACCCCAAAAACCCCCGAGTAACAAATTTCAGGCAAATTGGATTGATTTTTTAAAAATTTGTCCGCCATATTGGATCCGCCATTTTGAATTTTGGAAAACTGACCTCAAATTCGAATTCAGCGACCACAAAAACCTTAAATATGATGAAGTCATATTTTTTTGGAAACTTTTTTTTCGGACCGTTTTAGGCCCACCAGCGATTTTTAACTGGACTGCGAAGGGGTAAACAAAAACTTGGGACAGTAAATACACTATTAAATTCAATCACCCAAACTATATAGGGTGCAATTGCGGAAGACTGTTTGCTCATATAACAGTCTTCACATTTAAAAAATGTTAATAAGTCATTAATTATACATTAT